ATTTAGGTCCCCAGTGCCAAAATCAACAAATCTAGCCATGAGCCAGAATATCTGAATCGAATGGTGTAAGACCAGTGGTAGAAGTTGGAAAGCAGACGAGAAAGTGTCTCATAGATTTCTGTATGAACACACGTCACAGTTGGGTGTTGAATGCAGTGAATGTGCTGATTGTTCTCCACTGGTGGAGCTGGTATGTGGTAGCTTGTCAAGTGAGGAGACCAAGTAGAAGAGTAAAAGGGAAAAACCTCCCCCCAAACCCTCTGCCGGGGCTACCTAAGGAAGTCCAGGAGATTCGGGAGATACTTAGTCTCAGGAATATTAAGACTCTCTTATTTCAGTTAGGTTGATAGATGAAATACATAGTTCTGTGGTGATCTGTCATATTGGGCAAGGTACAATGAAACAGTCATGCCCATTCAATATCGCCTCTGCAGTGATGTTTGGTGGCTTTGAATAGTAAATGTCATACCATATTGTACAATAGAAAGTCTATTTTCAGTCCAGATCCCAAGCAGGAAGTAATTCTTCCCACCAAGAAGTGTTTAAGATGTTCCTCTCATGGCCAGGATATTAACACAATGCTGATTAGACCAGAAAGGACACACACAGGCCCTTACTCCAAAACAACAAGCCACTCATATTGAGGACTCAGGCCAAGAGACAGGGACTTACAAGCGCACACAGCTTTTCTCAAAGATTAGTGGTAACGCAGGTAGCCAGCATGAACAGGCTTCCATGGAAATTGGCCAATACACTTGTTACTTAAAGGCCATACTTGAGCCAGTGAAATACAGACAAACAACGAAGAATTTGGTAAGGGCTCCAAAAAAGTGGACATGCCAAAACAGATAGCACAGAACAAGACAATTTGGGGCATAGAAAGAGGGTCCTCAGGTGCAACGTAAACTCTGACAGTTGTTTTATTTTTTCTTTTTTGTAGTGCAGGGACCCCATTTAAGCTTTGATTGCAGAGATATCCCCTTCACAGGCAGCTATTTCAAAAAAAACCACACTGCCAGCCACGTGACTTGATAAGGAGCCAGGCCGCCTCCCCACACTGAGGCTCCTTTGTTTTACACATCTCAGTTGATTTCAATAACTGACAATTTGGGCCACTTACTTTTCCTCTTTCCACACTTTAAATTCTAGCTCTCATGTCTTAAATTCACCAAAAAGGAGTAAGTCCATGAAACCCTAGGCCCCCAGTCCTCGATTCCAATAAAAGCAGAACCCCAGGCCCTTGTGTGCTCTCTCTCTCTCCCCCTCTACCTTGCTGTGTGGCCCAAGGTGCGCTATGTAATTTCCAGGTCCTGTAAGTAATCAACCTCTATTTCTTCCAAGTTTACTGATGGTCTTGCAATCATAAGAACCACAAGGGCTGGTCTGGCCACAACATAGGTTATTGACAAGCTGAGACTGACACACAACACCAGGTCACGGAAGAAAAACATAGCTTGAATTCAAACTATTTCTTAGGTCACTCTGATTAGGGTTGTTAGTTCCTTACAGAGAATGATCTGAAGATTGATATGAGAAGTCTCTGTATATCTTTAGAATTTATTGTACATACAATATGCAAATATGTGTATATCTATGATATGTATACATCCAGTATACATGTAGAGATGTACATATCTATCTATTTATGTATAATGAGCTGATCACAATTCTCTTTACAAAGTAAGCATTCATTAATCTTAACAGATACTGTTGTTGCCTTCATAAAATTCTTAGTTTAAAACCCTATTTATGTATTATGTCTCTTTTCTATTATCTGTCTATCTACGCATCTTCAAGCCAAATGGGCCCTATGTGTCACAACAATGAGTGCTCTGATATCCAGAGTAGGCAAAATCAGTCATGTAGTATTCCGTAATGAATTCTGATATATTGAATATTTCTGACTGAATATACTACATGATACACTGTCACAAGGATCCAGTCATGGGAAATAGCATATAAGGGGAACATGGCAAGGAGTGCAGACCTGAGTGATACAGGATTTTGGAGGAATCTGATGTCCAGCTAATGCTCTCTCACAGATTTTAATATACATTCTGCTCTTGACATATATTTCAGCATAGAGAGGTGGAAAAAATATGAGGTTTGGAGTCCAAGAGATGGGGATTCAATCCCTGTTCTACCAGTATGGGGAAATGATTCATCTTCTAGAATGTCCGTTTCATCATTTTTATGTATGGAGACATCAATACATGGCTGCTTGATGTTCAGATGTAATCAGTTGTGCACAGAGAAGGCACATAATTGGTGCCCGATTCATTTTAGTGTTATTTAGTCAATAACTGAACTGTAGCCAAGTTTCTATATGTCTAATTCATTCCAGATTCAAAACAACTATGAATACAGTTAAAACTGCTTAATCAAACATCTCTCGCATACTTTTTTTAATCTGAAAAATATATAAAGAAGATTTCTTTTAATTAATTTTTTGGGAATTCCTCATTTTGCAGCTCTTATATGAGAACTACCAGATCCATTCAAAAGTTTGTTGTTTTTTCAATGTGCGTATTGAGTTCTTTTTTAAATTTCTAACATTTATGGATTTTTATACCTCTGAATATTTATTCCTCAAGTTTTACCACTTCCTCAAGAAAAAGCTCCCTCCTTTCTCCTCTCAAACAATCCATGTCCAAGTTGTCTTCTCAACTACTTTAGCTTATCTAGCTTTCTGTTCTCTCAGGCTCTGTCCTCTGGTATTCATGTGGGCATCTGTCTTCCTATATGTAAGATTTTAATTTAGTTGGGTGGCAAATTTCCTGACAGGTGTGCCTTTTTTTAATTTCCCCCAAAACTCTTAGTACAGCAGTGGGCCCATAGTAAATGTTGGACATGGATTTGCTAGTCAAACTTGATTAATAACCTCATCCCAAGTAGTTGAACCAGGAACAGGTTACAAAAAGGAAAGCTTGGGTTTGGTGCTCATTTACCTCTTGTCAAATCCTGAGATGTCAATTCTGATAGCTTACACCAGAAAGGCAGCAATGGTGACTCATTACTTTAGAATTTCAAAAAGTCTTCCCTACTGTCACTCGTCCTAACTTGAAGTTTCGTCATTTCTGAACCTTGTTTCATGAAAAGACGCCCTGGAATGTATTCTTCTTGAGATAGGCATGCCATCTTTCTTAAGAGATTTTCGTCAGGTTAAAATAATTAACCAGGATATACCGAGCCAAACCTTGGTTAAGGGCAAAAGGAGGAACTGGATTTTATTTGGAACAGTTCTTCACTTGAATAAATGTTTACTGAAGTGCATAAGCAGAGGCAGTCCCATCTAAAATTTGGAGAGGAGACAGGAGAAGGATCAGATCAGAGAAGCAGGAAGGAAATGGTCGAACTTTTCAGTGATCAATTTTAAATTCAGCACCTGTGTGTACACATCTCAGACGTGATACAAGTGCCAGAGTTATAGGCACAATGCATCACTTCTTCTGGAGTCAGTTTATTATTCATCTCTGCATCGTAGCATCTAGAACAGAGCCACAAAAAACATTGTGTTGAAAAATTGCTCCTATGTGACGCTGACCCTTTTCTTCAGAAATAGGTTGATTGATCAAGATCAAATAGGGCCAAGTTAAAATCTGACCACTCGGTGAGAAATAGTGCTGCAAATAGCGTGGTACTAAGAGAAGTCGGTTGGGTCAGAAAACGGTATCCCTGTGCTCAGTTTCCCACTCCACTGTTGCTCACCCATCAGCGGTGTGATATACCGCTCAACCTGTGTTACCCTGAGCTTCCTCTTTCAAATATGAGGATGTTAAATCCTTAGGCTTTTTTCCCCTAATTTTAAAAATCTTTGATTCTCTCTTAGATTCAAGCAGTGTCTTCAAAATAATTTCATGTTTACCTCTTTTTCGTTAAATAAACTTCAGTAGACTTATACCCTGTGGTAAATATTTTTATAATCATTCTTTTCTGGGATTTTATAATTGATTCAGTTTTCATAGCATCTGTAAGAAGAGTGGAGAAGAGACAAACACTTAGGGAACACCTCATATGAGCCAAAGCTTTCACATTTATTTCATTCTCAAAAAAGCCCTATGAAGTGGAAACTTTCTTTATTTTACAATTAAGGAAACAGAGAAGTCAAGCAACATGCTGAGGCCACTGAACAGGTAAGGGTTGGCCAGCACCAGGCTGCCCTCTCAGGTCTGTCAGGTTTAGAAGTCCATGCTCTTTCTAGCTCAGGATGCTGGCATTTTATTAAAAATGTAAGCATTCCACTTAACAGAGGGAAAGACTGAGGTATAGAGAACCAGGGGGCTTTCTCAATTTTGCAGCAAATTAGCATTTTTGGTGCCAAGAAGAAAACTCAAGCTTTTTGGAATAGAGTGTAAGCTCAGACTGGGAGGGGCAGAGTGCAAGAAAATATTCTTTTGCAAGATAACTTTATTTCTATATGATGCCAGCATTGAATTTTTAGGGTTTTAGAATGGTGAGACATGAAAGAATTGAGCTTGTTGTATTTACATTTGTTTAAGTTTAAATTCTAGTAATACACTTGGTGTTTTCTAGAGACTATCTCAGAATGAACACATTTTATATCCTAGAAATTGGTAAAACTCTTCATTTTTGCCAAACCACACATCCTAGCCTCCCTGTCTCCCCAACCCCCTGCCTCACACATACTTGATGTCTGGAGTGTGATAGGATTTAATCTGGAACTTTATTTCTTCTTATAAAAAGTAATTTTCTTATCTGGAAATAATTTGTAATGTTGTACAGCACTGTACTTCCTCTTGCTTCAGGAAAGATTTTTTTTCCCCTGAACTTCCCTTGTGTTGGTTTTTTCATCCTCTGTGTTTGTATTGGCTTTTAACCAAATGTTCCTTTCCGTGTCTTTGGCCTGGTGCCATACGAGAGTCAGCACTCAGCCTAGAAGTATCGTTTTCCAACACACAGAATCAAAAGGAAAACCCCGCCTCTTACACCCACTACTTATTACCATAATACTACAAAACTGCCTAGTTGCATCACTTACCCATCACTTGTGAATTTCTTCTTTTCACAGCTCTCATTCCTGCAGAGAATGAGTTTGAACCACATGGAGAATATGCCTTTAAGCCATTCAAGTCCTCAAGGAGCCCAGAGAACATCCTGGAAACAATGGGTCCTCCACTCAACAATAATTATTTTGCTATTGCTTTGTTCCTTCGGTACACTAATCCTTACTTTTCTCCCACTCAAGGTAAGGAGACAACAGTACCTAAGGTTGCTATTTCTTTTGTAAATCTAGTAATTATCATTGTCACTCAGTATTGTTTGAGTTAGTTGGAAGGAAGAGACATGTGGGTGAAGATAATGTAAATATAATGCCAATTTTGTCATGGCATATGGCTTTTGAGGTTTATTAAGTGTTTTGAAATGAAAGGTATTAGAAAATGCTAAAAATGTTAGCTGCAGAACTGAGTTATATGGAGAGAATCAGTTAACTAAATCAGTCAATTGACACATGCCTGTGGAGTATTTTCTCCCTTTCTACACCTCTGCTAAGCCCTCATGGTGGAATAAAAAGGTGTGAAACATGATGCTTACTCTAAGAAATGGGATGCAAGCTATAGTCCTATCAAGGGAAAAGATTTGAAAAAGTAATGGAAGACAGACCAAGGTAAGTGACAGGTGGTTATGTGTCTTAGAAGAGGGAAATGACATTGAACTAAGAGTAAGAAGATCTGGATTCCAGTTCTAGGCCTCCCAATAACTAGCTGTGTGAATTTGAGAAAGACTTTTAATCTTTTTGGTCCTCAGTTTCTTCATCTGAAAAATGATGGTAGGAGAATGGATTTGTTTATTATAATGTCTCTTCTAGCTATAAAATACAGTGATTAATAATTTATCTAAGGGTAGTATGAATATAAATGCTTTAGGAGTTCAAAGGGTGGGGAATGACTTTGGGCTAGTGTGATCAGGGAAGACTTAATGGAAGAAAAAGGAACCACATTCCTATTTGGGAAGCCCCTGGTGCTTCTCAGGAATTTCCCATTGAGCTCCAGTCCAAGTTTTGGGTCTAGTGAAGGGAGTGGAGATACATTATGTTCTTATTTTTCTAAGGGGATTGGTCAGCAAAGATCTCAAAGATATGGTTCTACCTCTTAAGATATCTGAAAGCAACTGAGAAAAGACGCAGGAGGAAGCAGTACACTCTATTTGCTGGTAATGATTTAGTTAGGGCAAGAGTAGCTTTGGCCAAATTTTTACACAGTAGCCCATTAATTTGTATTCCATAGCTGTACACAAAAGTGTGCAACAGAGACATTCTAATCACATCCCCACTCCCTCAAGGACTGTATCTAGTGGAAACCTGAACTTTCTGGAACAGAGGAGCTTTGAGCAAAAAGAAAAGAATTGTCAGGAATTCTGAGTGATTAGATTTCTGAGGAAGGGGAAGGGTGAGAATAGCAATAGCTTAAATTTGGAAGTGCTTTTTCCTTCTAAAAACCACCTCAAGTCTTATTAGCTAGATGACCACAAAGAATATAGGATATGCTGTAGGTGTCATCCGTTCCTGCATATGACTGTGGGAACCAATGCATAGAAGGAAAGGCAAGGAAATGCGTTTCTTAAAGGCCCACAGTGCCTGTTGCAAAGGGGAAGAGGAAGTCTAATAATGTCAGTCATCTAGGGCACCTCTTGCCAGAATTGAACTTGATCAATCTTGTGGGTGTGAGCTCTGATTCTGGATTCTCTCTCTAGACAACATGCAGCTACTCAATGAAAGGTTCTGTCTCTAAAGAAATTGCCTAGAATTTGTTCCAAATTTGAAGATGTTTAAAAGGTTCTCAGGATATTGTCCTGGCAGGATGCCAAGGAGGCTTATTTCCCATGGGAAAAGCCAATGGCCTGGCCAACAATGTAATGATATTAGCTCATGTATTCTACTTTCCACTCCCCTGCACTTCCCTTTCCCTGCTGGCCACAAGTAAGTATCTTTGGAAAAGAGGACTGAGTGGCTAGCGGATGGTGAGTCATTATGAGGTGGTCGCTTCCACCTTCTTACAATACTTGGAGTTTATATTATTTTGGTTTCCACTCTAGTTTTTATATGCAAAATCCCACTTCCAGCTTCTCTCGGCACTAATTCAAAAAGTGTTAGGAAGATTGTCTTCTTCTAGACCAACTGAAATTTCCTTGGGAGAAAAATTTTTTCGTCTTTTCCGCGTTTTTTCAGAAGACATTCAACTGAAAATACTGGCTATAAGCTAAAGGAGTGTGGTCTACCCCTCACTGAAAATAACCTCACAGCAATTTTCTCTAAGAACTCAAATGTTCAGGAGAGTGCCTTGCTTCAACGAAATGAAAGATACTTCCAAAGGAGAAGCTATGTTTGTACTTAAAAGCAGAGTAGATTCTATTTCCAAATGATGATCTGTTTAGGGTTGATTTAAGTTGGATTAAGTTTCAGTCATTTGAACCCAACTATGTAAATCTGGGCTTAAATCTAAAGGCAGTTATAAGAGCAACTGATCCTTGTAAGCAAAAATGAACTAAACTAAACCGAGAGTCCCATATGCATCTTTATGAGTGGATATTTACTCCTTCTAAACATCACCAGAACTATAAATGGAAACTGCCCCCACAGAGTGGTGGGGGTGAGACTTTTGAGTCATACAGACTCCGTTTGGATCTCAGCCTAGCCTCTTATCAGCTAGGTAACCTTCGGCTAGATACTTGACCCCTCTCATACTCATTTCCTCATCTGCAAATGAGCAAGCTAATTCTTATCTCATAGAGTTGCGGTAAGGATTCATGAGACAGTGCCTGACCTGTAGTAGCTCTCAATAGATTGTAGTGATTCATATTGGCACTGTTATTATTAATGACATTACAGTGAAGATGAATTTAAAGAGACTTTTAACAAAATGGATATTCCTTGCTTATCTATTTCACTTTCTCAGCCAAAGACTATACTTTGCTGTCAAATAGATGATTTTTGTAATTAGACAGATTTTCATTTGTGACATAATTAGAGAATGTCACAGTGGTGGTTTCTGTAGTTCCAAATGAACGTTGAAACAGCCCATGACATAGTATCCAGGATTTCTGTCTCTGGCAGTTAATTTGTCTGTGGCTGTAGATTTCTCCGCACCCTGCTTATACGTGAGAGTAGACAGCAGAGATGCTATCTGTGGCACATATTTTGGCACTCATTTATATTTAGATATTTACCAATTGCTTCAGGTGTGTAATCGTGTCTTTCTAAAAAGATTATAAACTTCTTAAGAGGCAAGGACCATAAATTACACTTGTTTCTCTTGCTTACAATGCTAGTATAATGTTGAGAATATAGGGTGCTTAAAGTTTTGTTCAAATCTTTATTATAATCAGTGTCATTATCAAAACAACTAATATTTAATGAGCAGGATCAGACAGAATATCTGGCAAAGACCTTCATAAGAATTACCTCATTTAGAGTCATGAACAACCTCAACGAACTAGGTGATATTATGTTCCCCCATTTTATAAATGAGGAAATTGAAGTTAAGGGAGTCCCTTTTACATGCCTATAATTAGTTAAACTAAATTGAATTTCAACATCTCTTCTAAGAAATCCCAAAACAATGATGAAATAATTGCAAAAGCAAAAACAATTCAGGAATCTGGTGATTTATCTTCTAGAGAAGCAGCTTCCAATTTGTTTTTTTTAAGATTGGGACCTGAGTTAACATCTGTTGCCAACCTTCTTTTTTTCCTTCTTCTCCCCAAAGCTCCCCAGTACATAGTTGTATATTCTAGCTGTAGATCTTTCTAGCTCTGCTATGTGGGATGCCACCTCAGCACGGCTTGATGAGCGGTGCTAGGTCTACCCCAGGATCTGAACCTGCAAACCCCTGGGCCGCGGAAGTGGAGCACGCGAACTTAACCACTCGGCCATGGGGCCAGCTCCCCAAACTTTTTGATTGCACCTCCTAATCAACAAAATGTTTTTGAGTAGAATCTCAATATATATGCTAATTATTATGTTACATACAAGCACTAATACTATGTGTATTAAACAGGTACACAAAATAGAAATTTATAAGGATAATCCAAATAATATGCTTAATGTAGTTTAATCACAGTGCAAAACCATTTTGCTTTTACTAAAATATTATATTTCATTAGCGTGTTAATGTATAATATAAATGTTTCTAAAATAATTGAAAAAAACATTTTAGAAGAGTAGTTTGATAAATATGTTTCCTTAATTTTCTTAATGTGAGTATAACACTTTGTGTTACAATAATTTGAAGGTTATATTCTAACTTGTTTACCTTGATTTCAAGTTTTGACTATCATGACTGGAAAATTACCTTACAAAGAAATATAGATCAAAACAGAAGAATGCATCTGTGAGTGTGCTTACCACGAATGACACTGAATTTTCAATCTATCCTTCAATGATGAGGTTTTCTTTTTTAATTAAAATGACATTATCCCTCACTCTATTCATGCCTTTCCTTCTTTCCTTACACAACTTACATTCCCTGCTCTATATTTATAACCCTTCCCTTGCATTAACACACTCACTTGCCTCTCTATCTCTTCGTTATACTCCAATATTGAAACCTCAATCCTGGAAAATCCCAAGTATTGGGTGAAACCAGCTGCTCTGTGTCTTGCACAGTTGAATGAGGCTGAGGAAAAACATAAGGTCTTGTTGAAAAGTTTTACTTTAGATTTGTGGCTACTAACTTCAAGTGGGACTTCAGCATTGCTCTATAAACAACCTACATTTCCCCCGTCCATTTACTCTCCTCTACTGGACTATTTCATTCCTTTGACTTCTCTTTAAACATCCAATGCCTCCTCTCCATTCTCACTCTCACCTGATAACCTTGCTACCAGGTTCTGTGAGAAAAGAGAGGCAAGCAGGAAAGAAGTTCCAAAGCTCCCCATCGTATCTACCACTGAATTTCATCTGCATTTCCTGTGTTTCCTTCTTGTCACTATGCATGAACTATTCATGCACCTGTCTAAGGCCACCCATGAACTAGATTCTACCCCCTCTTAGCTACTCCAGGGCATAGTTCCAACCATGATCTAGCTCTTCCATATTACCCGCCCCCCCACCTTATCGGAACATTCCTATCAAATGGTAACTGATAACCATGTTGTCATTTCTCTCATATTAAAACAAGCAAAAACAAAAATCAGAAAAACAAACAAAAAAATCTCTTTGATTCTCATCCCCATCCAGTCTCCAAGGCTCCACTCAGTTTTTCCGCTCTGCTCATCACTGTCTCCACAGCCAGCACCTTGGTCAGAGGCATGCACTTTCTTGCATAGATGGTTGCAGTGCCCTCAGCGCTTGCCTCACTGCTTTTGCCCTTGCCTCTCTTTAATTTACTTCTAGCACAGCAGCCAGAGAAATCTTATCTAAGGAAAATGTACAACACCTTTAAGTTCAAAAAGTCTCTTAAGCACTTTGCCACAAGACCACTGTTGAACTTTATATGGTACAAAAAATTTTTTTGTTTATAACTCATCTTACTATTAAGTAGTTTAAATCCTTCAGCACTTAAATACTTGTATTTATAAAATTAACCACACTGATGGCCTCTTCGAGCATGTAAACTACGGTATGTTGCAACAATTTGAAACTGAGGTCTCCTCAGGGTGTCTCGGGTACTGTATATGATGTGTGATTGTCTGAATTTTAAATAAGGGTGGCTTTATCAATCTGAGTTGTAAATATTTTTTTTTTAAAGTTTGGCACCTGATCTAACATCTCTTGCCAATCTTCCTTTTTTTTCCCCTTCTCCCCGAAGCCCCCCAGTACACAGTTGTATATTCTAGTTGTAAGTGCCCTTGTTATGCTACATGGGACGCCACCTCAGCATGGCCTGATGAGCGGTGCCATGTCCGCACTGGGATCCAAACAAGCAAACCCTGTGCCGCCAAAGTGGAGCACACGAACTTAACCACTCGGCCACAGGGCCAGCCCCTGAGGTGTAAATGTTTCTATAGCTTAATTTCATATTTTTTAAAATAAAAATAAACATAATTAGAAATTCTATTATTTTCTTCTCACATGCCGATGGATCACCTTGTGCAGTCACTGGAGTGCAGATACTATTATTGTTTATAGAAAATTTCTATAACATGAGAAGAGGAGAGTCCAAGATCAAACAATCGTCCTCTGGGTAGAGGCTAGGTGGATGGAAAGAGACCTTACCCTTTGCCTATAAGACCCAGAAAAGCAGCTAGGTAAGGCAAGGCAAAGGATGGAGCCAGTGATCTGTAAAAGGAAGCTGAGAGAGCTGAGACAAGGTAGAGGGAAGGATTTTTTTTACATGGCTAGGGAAAAGAAGTTTGTTTCAGGAATCTGAAACTCTAAATAAGTCAATCAAGAAACTTGTGACGCTGCTGTCATCCTGACCAATTCCTCTTTTTCTTCTCCTGCAGACTGCCAATGAGACCTGTGTAGCTAAGTTTGGTGAGTAACCTGTCTTGCATGCCTCCTTTTTACTTATTTTAGTATTTGATGCAAGAAAGCAAGCTCCAGTGTTGTCAAGGAAGCCGGGATACTATTTTATTTATTCTTCAGGTACTATTTATAACTGCTTACCATGGTGCCAAGCAGTTACTAAGAGCTGAGGCTTCGGAGGTAAACCAGACACACAGGCCCATGCCCTGATGGAGCTGACATTCAAGGTCACCTCTCTGGGCAGGAATGCACGTCACTCTTACAGGCCTGGGAATCTGAGACCCAGGAATCGACTTTTAATTCTGTGTTTTAATAAGTGTAAGTTTTAGGTTTCTACAACCTTTCCTTCTGACAAACTCAGAGTCCTTCTCACGTTTCACATATTGCTGGTGTCCAGTAGAGTGTGTGCGGGGGTACCGTTTGTGTTTCCAAATGTATAGAAGAGGAATGAGAGCTAGGGAAATGACCGCTTCCTCTTCTCTTTTCTTCTCTCCTCTTAGCTTCGGAGTCACTTTCCCTTACGGCGACCTGGTATTTGCTTAGAAACACATTAGAGTTTACAGTCACTTGGCCTTGGGGTATTTCTTAGACTACACACAAAATTGAAAAGAAATACATTTCGGGTTGTTTACAGGTTTCAGGCCAAACACATATTTTCAATTGAGAGCAGAATATTTCTAGAGTCAACGGCAACCCCTGTTTTCCTATACAGTTCAAACTGCCAGACTTCCTTGGCTTGTGGAGAATTAGGCAATCTCTTTTTACTTGCCTCTGCCTTTATGATTTGGTTTTCTAGTGAATGGAGTGGAACTCATGATGGACTTGAAATTCCTCTTGATGTGGTAAAAGTTGTGAACTTCAAGTGATGCTAAGGTGTTCTTTAAGTAGCCCCATCACAGAATTAAATAAGAGAACAAGTGACACTTTTTCCTGGTGACTTGTCTGTGGCCTAATACATGTCAAGCAGGAAGAAATCTACTGAACTCTGGCCTCATTGGAGATATAGGGAGACTTTGATTCTTGCTCTGATGATCTTCCTTCATTCTCCTTCAGAATCTACCCCCAAAGTCTTAAATCAGTCATTTCTATATACATAAGAATTTATCAATGTGTTATTCTTCCAGGGTGTCTTATCAAGATTTCTTTCTAGTTATGGGATAAAGGCTTTGCTCCCATAACAAAAATGATGGAGAATTAGAGGACAGGCTAGATAAGTATTTGGGGTGGTAAAAGCACTTCCTGGGGCTCTGAAATCACACTACTGTGAGAAAACAATTAACATCAAGAAAATAGATGGATTCCATATATACCTATGGAAATGAATGACTAGGTCTTAACCCTTTCCCCATCCCTTGTAACAGCATTCAAGTAGGGATGGTTATATTTAAATAGTTGAATAATTTCCATTTATAAACTCATGAATTCACCAGTAACTATTTTTGGACGATTTGGATAATGATATCCCAAGTGGATCTTGAATGATATGTATCTATAAACTGATGAGAAGAGTCGTAATTTAGACACAATGCATCTAATTTAGGAACACAGATGTATCATTCAATCGAGAAATATTATTGAGCACATACTAGGTACCAGGAGCTGTTTTAGGTGCTGAAGATATAGCAATGAACAAACTAGAGAAGTATTTGTCCTCAAAGACATTATATTCAAGTAGGTATGAGATAGACAATAAACAAATGAACAACTTAATTTATGATATGCTAGATGGTGACACTTTCCACAAAGAAAACTAGAACAAGGTAAAGGGAGAGAGTGACAGGAGAGTACTATTTCATATTGATTGATGAGGAAGGTCTCATTGATTTATCACTTTAGTGATACACAGTAAGTCATATTTGCATATAAAAGCATGAATATGCATCCTGGACTGTCAGCTCTGCTTATCACAATCCTGGTGTCTAATTCCTCTCTCCTTCTTTCTTTCCTTTCACAAATATTGATTGACAAGAGACACAGTGCCACCTAAAACATCACCCACTTTTCTATTCCAAATCCATTTCCTTAGAGATTTCCCAGCTAGAGATACACTTAGGATTTGCAATTTCTGTAAAACATGGAGTAGATAGCTACTTAAAATGTTAAAATTGTGGTTATAGAGAACTAATATAGACCAGGTCAGAAACAACCTGTAAGTGGGAAAGAATTATAATAAAAAAGAGAATGAAATAATTAAATAACTATGCTTTCCTTTTTTTTTCCTCCCTTGTAAATTTCTTATAGGACCATTACCTTCAAAATGGCAAATGACATCTCCTGAGCCTCCTTGCGTGAATGAGATAACTGATTGGCAGCTGAGGATACTTCAGAATGGCTTGTATTTAATTTATGGCCAAGTGGATCCCAATACAGCCTACAAGGGAGCGGCTCCTTTTGAGGTGCGGCTATATAAAAATGAAGACATCATACAAACTCTAACAAGCAACTCTGAAATCCAAAATGTAGGAGGGACTTATGAATTGCATGCTGGAGATACAATAAACTTGAAATTCAACTATGAGCATCAGGTCTTAAAAAATAATACATACTGGGGGATCTTACTGCTAGCAAATCCCCAATTCATCTCCTAGAGACTTGATTTGGTCTCCTCATCCTCTTCAGCACATGCAGAGGCACTGGTAGGTAGATTGGAGGAGGCAGATTTTCAATGCCTACAGTTTGTCTGGGTACACAAATCAACACACACAGAACTCCTCTGCATGTGAATTTTCATCTCTCATGCTCATCTGAAAGAGACTCAGAGGAAAGGTCAAAGACATTTGGTTACCCCTGACATTGGGTTGGCAAAGACATTTTGCTAATCCATGATAAAGTAAATATGGGTGGCTAGACTCTTCAAAGAATCTTTGTCTAATCCTTGAATGCTTGGTGAAAAAGTGAAGTCTTATTCCCATGGGAGCCTTACGTGGTTTGCAAAAAAGGTCCAGGGCAGTAGTCTGGCCTTGTCCTCATATTCTTGGGCTGCTCCACTTCATTCTTCCTGTATTCCCATCTCTGAGACCATCCTGATAAAAGTAGTCAGATTGGGAGAGTGGCCGCAGATACACCAACAACAATCCATTTTAGATGTGATGACGTTAGAGGGTGGAGAACACTCTAGAGAACTATTGGGACAGAGGCATAAGTGGCATGGAATGAAACACACTTATTTGGGAATTTCTCTTTATTTCATCATACTCAGGACGCATGGTGCTTTATAAAACTAGTTGTTCAAAGCCCTTCATATAGGGCTTCATGACAACTTGTTTGTGTCTGTGTCTAAACATTGTCAATGGTAAAGAAAGAATAATCATTAGTAATCATAAGATTTAATCCTAGCAATTGGTATTACCAGTACTGTATTTTGCCATGTAATGATTTCATATTCTTTTAGCTGGCTCTCTACAGTTCACAAAGTGCTTTTGTGTATTACACAGCATCTCTATGAAGTTAATGGGGCAGGTATTTTGGCACAGTTCTAACAATTAGAATACAGAAGCAGATGGAACATAAGTAACTTGCCTCAACCCATAGAACTGGTGATTAACAGGGCCAGTGGGCTTCCCACTGTATCACACTGTCTCAGTTTTAGAGTTGGTATACCTGCTATCATGTTATAAGTCAGTTTAGCAGATTCTATTTTCAGGAAGTGTATTCCCTTTCAGCCCAAGGTGGGTAGAGAGAAGCTGCAACAGATCTTTCCTTTCTCAGCAAATTTCTTTTCCTTTTCCTGCTTGGAGCAGGGACTATTAGGGTGTTGCTCAGGGCTTACTCCAACCAGCTTCTTTTCCTCACTTTGAAGAACCTGTCTTGGTCAAAAGTGTTAACTTCTAAAAACAATGAATAGCACTCAATTCAATTACAGCCTGCTAAAGTTTTGGACTCCATCAAATCAATTAGCACCTTGTGGTTTCTTTTTGAAAGTATGTAGTATGATTACATGATAACCCAATTTAAAATATTTATATATATTTGTAAAAAGCTGTATTATGTTAAATAATACTGTCACATGTAAAGCTAATTTAGAAATATTTGTATTGTGTGCAACAAAAATCGTTTGGGAGCAGGCTAAGCCTGAGGCCAAGATGTTTCTTGGTAAGTCTCCTTTTTAAACATCTGCTGAGTAGCTGTAGGGCCAAAGACGTGGATGCCTTATTCATCTTGCATCTGTATATCTTCTCAGGAAATTAAAGTTATATCACATATATTTATGGGAACTTGGGGTGTTGATCATTGTTATGTTGTAAGCAGCAGTGTGTTGGAGTGGGCAAGCACTAGCTCTTGAGAGCTGATTGTTAAATTTTCAGAAATTTTGCAATGGTTAGTAAATACAGCCATCCTGGAAATTGGCCATGGTGGAGCTGTTTATTCCATGGGAATTGGCAAATGCTCCAAATCAGAGCTGTCTTTTTAGAGGTCCCATTCACCAGCATACTACTGTTTGTAAAACTTTCCTTCTTAATGACTCCTCTCTGCTCCTGCCCATGCCTGGGACAATCGAGGCAGGCAAGGGAGAGAGTGAAATTGTCATACTCCCAGCAAAAACCCCACATGATGGTGATTTCTCAGGGCAAGCAGAGGTCTCTGCTGCTGCAGCCAGAGAGATGGCTACCAATGGATGATATTCAAATTTCCCTGGTGTTGTAATTTCAGTCTTTGTTTTCAATGTATATTCTGTTTCCTTGTTTCTTCAAATAGTGTTTACATTTAAACCTTAATAAAATGTACGTTGGTAAGTGAACTGTAGCTGACTTATCTGTGGATTATGAGACTAGAGATAGTGAACTAGAGAGCCTAAGGGTGCATCTGAGAAATCCTTGCCCATATGAAACACTGCTTGGCAAGTATTAGGCAAAAGCGAGAGCTGGATTCAACTAGCTTTTGGTTATAGCTGTCTCAATTTCTGAGGGGTTAGTCAGACAGTTTCACCGTCTGACTTTCAACCACCTCCTCAACTCCACCCCACCCACCCTCACCATCAAAGCTGTCACCAACCTTTCTCACACTTATTGTTTGATACCTTCCATTTTGCCTAATCAGAGCTGACCCAGAGTGTGTTATGTCACTAAGGGCTAAGTCTCTGCTTCTGAAGATGGCGGTTAATTGAAAAGTGATGCAGACTTGTGCGTTTGATGGAGCAGACTAGCTCCTTAGATGAGTATATCCGTGCTTCTTGGAGATGAAATTCCTGCTTTTGTGTGTTCTACCTCAAAGGAGCAATTTCATTGGTGGGAGTGGAAGGAGATTTTTTATTAGAGAGAAGGAGAAGCAAAATCTTGATCAACTTATGGGTGAGGGGTCTGAGGATTATCTTTTAGCAGAAGTGATAAATGATGCCTTGGCACATAGACTTTCATTGACCTGAAAGGATATACCTCTATTTGGGGGGGTCACTTGTGACTCTGGCAGAGTCATTCCACCAGTCATGGCTCTCCTGTGAGTCCCACATCTATCTATAGGAAACTTGCACATATGCTTTTACCCTACAAACTCAGAGAGGATGGGCTCACCTCCATGCAGCAGATTCTCCTGTCTTTGCTACCAAGAGGTTGCTTTTCTTTTCCTGACAGATTTCCTGGGTGGGATCAGACTCTAGCCCACTGTAGGCTTTAGCCTTCTCAGTGGGAGTCAGGCGCCAGTTCTTTGCATCTCCCAATTTCAAAAAATAAATTTTAAAGCTCTTTTAGGGGTTCCCTTGAAGTCCTCTATCAGGCTTAAGTTTAGAGAGTTTCATTGCTCCCCATCCCTCCTGCAAAGTGTGTGGGTGAGGACTCACGGCATGGCCAAGCTCTCTCTTCATAAATTTGATCACAATCTCCCCTTCTCCCCACTCTGGCCTCATTTTATGCCCTTGATCCAGCTGAAGTGTCTAAGGGAAGTGGGGAGGGGAGTTTACCTTCATTCCTTTTGTCAATTCTGCATATTGGCAGGGGCAATTGTCTTATTCTGTCTTATTCTTTGATATCTTAGGTACCAATCAGATTATGCCTGAGTTGAAATGGGTCAGAAGAGTCCCACTTCTACTCTCATATGTCTAAAAGGGATCTGGGAGGCCTACAATAAAATACAGAAATGCAAAACCCCAAACCATCATCACAGGAGCAATAAAATAAGAGCTTAATACAAAGGCAGAGGGAAAGGAAAGTTATTGTTTAGAAAAGTTGGGCTTAAGAATATTGTTACAAATGAATGCAAAAGATTGCTTTTAATTTCTTGAAAGTCAAGGAAAACTAGAGAAGCGTGAAGGGAATAGAGTTGTTTTATGTATTTTTTTTAATGCACACTGTTTTGTTAGGAGAAAGAAACTTTTCCCCAGCACTGAGCTCTAAGCGGACTCTGCCTCCAGGTCCACAAGGAATGCTCTAGAGAGAAAAGTGCATACTCTTCCATTCATTTTATTTGAATCTACTGGTTTCTGTTAACAGTTACCAACTTTAAGGATTCAAACAGTTTAGTTATCACTCTAAGACACACAGCAGTATTGGTGATTCCCGTGACACAGTTTGGGAAAGTAGGCTAGAGGGTGTATGTGGCCTTCTTCAAGATCCCTTCCTGGGATCTTTGTCTGGCAACAGAAAAATGAAAATTCAATGAACAGGTCCATTCTATTAAACCAACTTCCTCATTGCTTCAATTGCATAATCAGAGAGGGAATCTCTGATTTCAGTGTCTGGAGAGATTGTTTCCACCCAGCTTTGGTGTTGTCCAGGGACAACACAGGGGTGGCATGTTCTTCACATGGGGCCTCAATGCGCGGAGTCTGAGCTGGACTGAAGTGAACTGGTGAGTTTAAGTTTCTTGGAATGGAAGACATCTAGAGAAACTCTTCATCTTCCCTCCCTGCCTTTGGGTTATACCTCCTATCTGATGGATTAGTTTCTGAGGGGAATGTGATGACCAAGAGTCCAGGGTCTGACATGATGCTTGGCTCATAGTCCTAATTATCTATTGAGTGAACAAATAAAGGAATCATAAATTTATTTGAGTGTTCACATGAACTTAGCATTATCATATGTATTCTGGATAACAGAGTCCAGTGGACAAAGCCTTCAGTCTCCCCTCCCATCACCTACTATTCTCAAGTGCTCTCCTTTTTCCCCATCAAAATCTGTTCTTAGAATATTCTTAACGTATTTAAGAAAAAGAACCTTATAAATTCACTTGTGCTAAAGGAAAATGGCCAATAAGCTACCTTGCATCACTAAAACAGGACAAAATCCTATTTGTTTTAAGTCTTCCCTAGGAAGATACACCAAGAAGCAACCTCTTTACAATATCCTAAGGCAAAACAATTTATTCAATGATCAGTGGCAGAGTTTTTCAAAGTGAGGTCGGTGGAATTTACATTGGATTCACCCAGCATGTTTGAAAAAAAAGGTGATTCCTAGGCCCCATTCACAGTCTACTGAATAAACATTTCTAGGAGTGAGGCCTAGCAATCAAATTTTTCACAAACTCTGATCCATACGTTATTCTTATGCACCCTACAGTTTAAGAACCACTGCTTTATGGCATGCAACTTTGAATTTCAGCTGAGTATTTCTCCAAGTATTTAAAATGAGTCAAAGCTTCTAAACAAATTTAAAAAAAAATCAGTAAAACAAAACCAAAAAAATCAAGAAAGCAAAACCAACATTGATGGCACCCACGAGATTTACCATAATCCATCTCTCATCACAAAAGCAAATGGCCTTCTATCCTCTATTTGGGTCTGAACGAAGGTCAGGCTCTTCACTTTTCATAACCTAATAGCAACATTGGCACTTTAACATCGGCAATCTAAGGCCTATGAGCCTTGCCACAATCAATATCACATTATCTACCTGTTTGCTGTCAACTTTCAAATATTTATCTCTAGCCCAACTTGTTTTTCTTTGCTTCAGACTTGTAAATCCAACTGCTACTCAACAATTTCACACTGGAGGTATAATGGACACCTCAAATTCAACATGTCCAAAATGAATCTCTTAATGTTTCCCCAAATCAGCTTTTCTTGAAGCCCCCTTCGTTTCACTTGTGTTGTTTGGGCCAAAAACCTCTGAGTTGTGGAGTCATTCTTGACTCCTGTCTATTACCCATCTTATCTGTTAGGAAATCATATTTTCTTTACCCTCAAAGAGAATCTGATCTCTTTTCTGTTCTCACTTATCTGTGTCACCAGGATTATTTCAATCACTTCGTAACCAGTTTCTCTGCTTCTACTTTTGTAGTCAGACAAACTCATTTTCAAATCTCAGTTTTGCCATTTACTACTTATTTGGGTCTTGGACAAATTACTTGCTCTCTCTGACACTTAATTTCTTGTTTTGTTTACTATCCAATACTATTTACTGTTGTTTTGTTTACTATCCAATGCCTGATCCATAGTTGGAGCTTAATAACTATTTGTCGAATCAAGGAATAAATGTAAAATAGGTTTAAAATACCGACTCATGTATGTAAAGTTCCTGATACATAGGAGACACTAAAATGGTGGCTGCCATTGATTTTATTTTTATTAAAGATTTGGATTTATTCCTAAGTTTTTGAACTTTGTCATTTCTCAAGTTGAGATATTTATTTAACATCTCTCTTATTCTCTTTCCTTCCCAAGATAAGCCCAAAGATAAATAAACATTTTATTTATTCAATACTTTATCATTAGTACCTAAAATAGTGTTTGGAATATTGAAAGAGCTCAACAAATGTTGAAATGAATGAAAAAAAAGGACAGTGATTCTTGGTTGTAATGACCAGCAAGACATAGGATACATATGTTGCAAACAACCTCCCAGATTCGCGTATTCACTTCTGTTCCTCTAGGTTTTTTAAAACTCTGAGTAATGGATGGAAAATTCTAAGTACCTAAATGACAAGTGCTCAAGAAAAGGTGGCTGCTATCACCACCGTACCCATACCACCATCATCATCATGACAGTCATCATTTCATTATACTCATTTCACCAGAAGCATCATCCCAGAACACATTAGCTTGCTTTACCACAGCAACGTTTTCACCAAATTGTAAGTTAAGCTTGTGCCGTTGACTTTTATTGAATATGTTTATTAGAAACAGCCATGTGCATCTTCTCGAAATGATTCTTAGAACGATATTTATTGTGTTGCTTATCATTCTTTATGGCAAAAACAGTCAGGAAAACTGATCTTTCATGAACTTGAAGCCATAACTCTATGGGAATTTTTTTCCTCATCTATTTCTACAGATCAATAAAGAGTTCAGTAATATGTGAGATTATTTGGAATGCTTTCCCTCTGCAAAGGCAATATATGTCTCTAGAACCTTGAATCTGTTATTAATTACTCCAAATGAATATTTTTGGAAACACGAACTGTGGTTTCTGAGCACAGATGTTGACAGATGCTATCTCAGGTGGTGAGTTGCTTTTTCAACAAGGCTTTTCAGAGTGGTTATTTCAGAGTGGTGAAATTACCATGTCTGAAATTCAGTCTTCAGGTTTATAGATCAGAAACTGAATTTTATCAAAGTCTTAGAGTTTATAAAACTCTCAGGGACTGCATAATCAAATTCAAAAGAGAGTGAGAAATAAACTAAGGTGGAAGTTTATTGATCAGTACATTCTCTCTGTGAAGGAACATTATATGGGTGTTCAAATTATAACCAGAAAGTTATTGGCGGGCATGGAATCCAAGCCAAGGTGATTAGGAATGAACAAACAAAGGCTTCAGATACCAAATACATCTTTTATTCATTGAACAAATATTTCCT